TTTTAACCCAACAGTTGGGTTAGTCCATATTTGACCCAACATTGGGTTGAAACAACCCAGCATTTTTTAAAGTGTAGTTAGTATGCTACACTCTAAGAAAAGTCTGTAAAAATATGGCAAAATCTATTAATATGAAAAGGAATTTTCCGTAAATTCACAGGTTTTTTTTTACCTACATTTTAAATTACGCATTGTATTTTGTGTTTTCGGTTTACAGGGTTACAATGGATAATGAAAAAAGGATAACGGATAATGTCCTGGAAAATTACTAGTACCCTTTTCTAGATATTTTTCTTACCGTGCACTAACTGATCAACAATCTCAAGTACAAGCTACTAACAAGGTGTATCATAAATGAACAATTATTCAATTATTATTAAATTAAACAATTGCAAACAGCAGCTAACTTAATTCATGTGATGTGTGTACTGCTAGGCACCTTTGGTTTCCTCTTTTTGTGTCATTTAGATGGAAAATGTGTGCCTTTTTTATCATTTGAGTCACTTATCAAAAGTTGCTAAATAAATTTTTAAAAATAGCTAGGTGCTTTTGGAAGAAAAAGTTGCTAGGGTAGTGTGAAAAGTTGCTAAATTTAGCAACAAAATTGCTATGGCAACACTGACCTTGACCACACTTTTCTTCAGACAAATTATGACACTCAAACAGCGACAATACTTATACACAAACAAACACTATGATAGGCTTCATTTTTTATATCAACTTTTCTGGAAGAAATTGAATTTGTATGATTTTTTTAACAGCAACCAAATATTGTAAGACTATAAACACTATATTTATTAAAATTATATAACCAGTTGTCTTGTCTGCTGTAAATCTAAATTAAATTTGAGATGTTTTTAAATCAAATGTTTTTAATGCATGTTTACATAGCAAAATTGGATTACTTTTTTGTACCATTTTATTTTATATCCGGTGACTCACATGATGGTAAAAATTCCCCAACAGTTCATATTCAAATAGTGTAAAACAAATGTGAGTGAAAAAAAAGTTTTTTTTCCCACTAAAGGGTCATGTGAATAATCCATTTTAGATGCAAAGCAAGAACAAACACAGGCTGAGTAAAAGTGGGATTTTGTGCAATAACGTGACGCACTAAATATAAGAATACAATGTTTATGACATACACAAAAACTGACGGTTTACAGAACCAGAGAATGTCAATACATCTGATGAATATAACAAACATAACTCAAAATAATAACAGCTTTTATTGTGCTTCTATTTTTATATTCACTGTCAATGTTGTAAATGAAGTGGCTTTATAATATATTGCTAATAAAACTATGTATTTAAAAAGAGTGACAAAATATGGAGAACACAATACCAGTGAAACGCCGCAAAAGAAAAAGAGCCATCAAAAACAGTGCAGATATAACAATGCAGATTTGCAGTACCATATTGTTCAACTCACTGTTTCAAAATATCAAATTAAAGAAGAAAAGTCCAGAAAAGCAACTTATAATGAGATTTTTAACACGCCATGATTAAAAAAAAAAAAGAAAAGCTTTTTCCTCTTTGTACTCTTGTTCTGTGATGAGAAAAAAGGGAAACATTGTCCAGCTGGCTATCAGTGGAAGAAATGTAAATTAGCTCCATTAAACATGTTAACACTGTGTCCTATAAACACTTACACACAGTAGCACCAATAAAACAACTCAAGAAAACAACTAAATGCAGTTTACAGTAGAAGACTGTTTATGTGGTTTGAGATATAAAGTAAAAATCTAATGTGCTTTAAGTTCAAGCATTTTAAAGTCAACACAAAACTTGATTCGCAATTTGGCGAAGCCCGTTTCCATCCCAGGATTAAAAAAAAAAACGATTCTTGGAATCCGGAGAAAAAAAATGGTCAGAATTGTGAGATATAAACTCGTTTTTTCTTGCAATTCTGAGATTATATCTCACAATTCTAACTATTTTCTGTTTTAATTCCATGGCAGAAAAAAAAGCATCCATAGTAATCTGGTGTATTTCTGAGTGGAATAGGATGTTTTATAATTTTTTTTAATATTACAAACTTTTTTTATTTGAAATAACGTGCACTAAAGAATCATTACAGAATAAGACCAGGACTGTGAACCGACACGAAATAAAGTAAGTTTATTTATTTAGTCAATTAGCAGACGCTTTTATCCGAAGCGACTTACAAATTAGATTTGTTCTGATTTCATTTTGATTTCAAGAGCTTGTTGTGGTTCATCAGATATTAGTATTGATTAAAAACAATATTCAATAACATTTTATACTTTGTAGACAATCTGATTTGACTCCACGTGATGTTCAGAGGCGGGTCTCAGAGATTGCCGTGGATATATTCAATTATTTAATGTATACTGAAAATATAAAGAGTTGCTTATCTGTTTAGAAGCAGAGGAATGCACACACATACATACAGTATGACTCTGATGTGTGTGGATGCACTACTGTTCAAAAGCTGGGGTCAGTATGATTTTCCTTTGAAAGAAATTAATACATTTATTCATGAAGGATTACTACAGCGGATCTAAAATATGAATAGTTAATTATAACTAGTTATGGTTAATTATTCATATTTCCTGTCATGAGCTGATTCGTTACATTGAATTGATCAAAAGTGTCAGAAAAGACATTTATAAAGAGATTTTATTTTAAAGGGGTCATATGAGAACATTATGTTGTGTATTTGGTGTAATGCAATGTGTTTATGTGGTTTAAGGTTCAAAACACATTATTTTCCACATAATGTACATTATTGTTGATGCTGAAAATCCAGCTTTGCATCACAGGAATAATTTAATAAATTTTAAAATATATTTAAATACAAATTTTTGAATTTTAGTTTTTACTGTATTTTTTATCAAAACATGCAACAACGACAAAAAATCTCACCGACCCCAAGTGTTTGAAGAGTAGTGATGAAAAAGAATCACTTACTTCACAACGGCACGTCCTGCATTTGTCTACTGGATGAGGAAATTCCATTCCATTTGGATAATCATTACCTGCATATCTACATCCTTAAGGAAGGGGAGAGGAGCTTTATAAGTGACTAGTTTGCATATACTCATAGGAAAGAGTTTCCTCAGCTGTTTCTCCTAAACAGGAATGACATTAAATGGAGACTAATCTGATACACATGTACACAAAATTAGTCTGATCCAACAGATTTTGCATAAATCTGCAAAATCTGAGTTTAGATTTACCAAGATAGTCTGCAGTCTTTCTTTACAAATTTGCTCAAGACCAAATAACCTGAGATTTTCACATTCCTTTAGCTATGTACTATTATTTGTGTCTATTTTTATTTATTTAGGGTCAGAATGTTGGCAACCAAACAGTTTCAGTTCCATTGTAGGGACACAAAAATATTATGGAAGTCAACCGGAACCGAAACTGTTTGGTTACCAACATTCTTCAGAATATCTTCTATTTATGTTTCACTCTGATGACATGAGAGTGAGTAAATGATTAGAGAATTTTAATTTTTGCATGATCTGTCCCTTTAATAGGATAGTTTGCCCAAAAATTAAAATTAGTTTGCCCCAGAATTTACTCACTCTCAAGCCATCCTACACTGTAAAAAATAAGTGTGATTTTAACTGTAAAATTTTGTAAAAACGCTACGGAAAAAACTGTTAATAGGTTAACATTAAGTTCCCGTACTATATACACGGAAAAACGGTAAAATATCTAACCAGATATTTCATGTAATTTTACAGTAAAATGCTGTTAATTTTAACGACTCTCACCATTGCAGTTGTTTCGGCACATTTCATTCATTCACAAAAACTGATTTGCAGAAATGGAGCAAGCGGAAAGTAGAAGTTATGATTATCAGGGCCAGTTTCAATATGTCACAATCAAAAGCTGATTGTGTTTACTTTTAATTCAACATCTTCGCTGTTCCTCGTTTCCCCTATGGAAGAAAATTAATGACAAATGTCTTTGAAACAGAAAAGCTGAAAACTGAAAAAATTATGAATTGAATTAACAGTGCTTGCATTTTAATGCCTTGTATTTTCAGGGCTTGCATTTTTAGGTCCTGAAATTTAACATAGTTGTTTATTTAAGCTGTGAATATTTCAATTCAAAATATTTCACACACATTTTCATAATTCAAAATTCAATAATTCATATTCACCTTCCAGAATTCACTTCCCATTTTCAGCTCTGTTGTGTGCGTTTTTTGCATGTGCATACGTAATTGAGATGTTTAAATGTTTTTATCGTTTTCATGCCTGGTACATTGTCACAGATCCATGGACTCTCATATGCCCTGGTGGAGAGTTCAGCGATCTGCCAACCCTCCTGAAACGATGAGAAAACACATATAGTCAGTTCTATGACCATGAACACAATGAAGTCTGTAACCATGATGGCAACCCATTGCAAAGTCATGACAGTAACGTCGTAAAACAGATGAGCAATGGCAACACCAAAACAGTCACCTCTGTAGAATGCTTGAAAGAGACAGTTCACTCAAAAATGATTCTGAAAACATTTTGTCATAATTTGCCGACCCGTTATTCTTAATCTGTTCAACATTCAAAAAAAATAAAAAATAAAAATAATTATATATATATATATATATATATTCAGTTGAACTTTCCCGGATTTCCGGGCTGCTCGAGCGCACTCTTCAACTTTTAGTGAAAAACACAAAACAGTTTTATTAACACATAATGTCTAATGAGAGTTATACAAACATTATGGAATGCTCAGCAGATCACATGCATTCAGAAACGATAAAATATGGATCATGGGTAATATATTAAATCATATAGGCAATAACAATGAAAATATATATGAAGTTATATTCATTTGAACTTATAAATAAGAATCGATACCCTTACATTGGCTGTACCGTGGTACTGGGATGGTTTCAGTACAAAGGTACATATCAAAGTAACATAGTATGTACAAAAAATAGTATTCAAAAACAAAGGAGTCAAAAACAAACAAAAATCTGAATTTATATAAACTAACAATCTTTCTATGAAAGAAAAAAAACCATGGGGGCTTTATCGAAATTATTTGTATTGGTGTTTGTGTGTGTAAGTATGATTTCATAAAATATGTCACTGACTGCTGTAAAAGACCACTCAGATGACCTTTGTTTCTGATGTCTTATTGGTTAAAACGAGGACACTATTTCAGCCTCCTAATTTCTACCTGTCTTAATTACAGTGTGCTTCCAAGTCAACTCTATTAGTGTGTGTGTGTGTGCGTGTGCATGCAAGCACTTCTCTGTCAGGGTTTATTAAAGCATGTAAGGTATACACTAGGACGAGACAAAAATAGGCCAGATTACCACACAAGACACAGGCTGTTACACTTTACCATCAGGATCCTGAAAACATTTGTGTGACACACACTCTAAGAAAAGTCCCTAAAAATACGATATTGTTTTTTTTACAGGTGTTTTACCCGTATTTTGAATTATGCATTTCATTGTGTGTTTTAAGAGTTGAAGGAAATATCTGTAAATTTAACCACATTTTCAGTCATTTTCCACCAGGATGTTATCTGTTTTTCTACTTTTTTTTTTTTTTTTTTACAGTGCAGAAACATTAAGAAATTGAACATTAAAGACAATTTTTTCCCCAAATTTAATGTATAATAATCTATAATTTATCTATCTATCTATCTTTCTATCTATCTATCTGGTTTTATAAACTTTCATCAAAGACTTTCATCATGTCTATCAAACTATCAAGTCTAAGACCACTAGAGAATTTTTTTTTTCACATTTATTTCACACTTTGTCATTAAAAATTACATTATAAACAAATTAATTCAATGTTCAAATGAAAATTATGATGAATTTGACTTCACATTTGATTAGAGATCTAGAAATTGTGCAGAATTAAATATTTATAATAGTTATTTCAACATCAATCATATTCAAAAGTTTCTGTCCATTTCCAGATTTTGAATCCCAGATTTTCAATGTGGTCCCACACTTTTGAACGCCACTGCATTTGCTTGATTATACAGTATCTGCATATTGGTTATGACACAGTTTTCCTTAAAGGTTACTACTGGCCATCTTAGAATACTGTTATCTGATTGGCCAGGAGTGAAGCGATGCTATTGGTTAGACCCAGCAGGGGTATTTGTCTTGACCTCTTAACTTTGGCTCTGATCCAGTGAGTTTGAACACTAAATCTCAGACTAATCCACCGCTCCAGAAAATCTGGACACCTGGACCTGAAAAGCAGTTAGATGGGACAGGTAGGTTAACATGCTTTCTTGTCTTTGTCTCAAATACAATAGTGCATAATCAAAATAAGAGAACAAACCATGACCAGGTTTTGTGAGCTCAAATGGTCCTGAAGTCTATTTTTGGCTTGTCTTCACTTCTGTATAAGAGAGCGAGAGATGCTCCAAACGACTTGTGTAATAGTCTTGAATAACTGGTGGCAAACCGAACAAAACTTTAAAAGATCTGTGTGCATGTTCACACATCTTAGCATCTGTGTTTGTCTTCACATTAACATAATAGTATTATACAATTGTGTGATTATTTTCCAGATTTTTTTCAGCCTTTAATTCACTTAAACAAGTCATGAGGGCTCCAAAATATTCCAGTTATAAGCCAAATGCTGAAATATAAGGATGTAAAATCAATTTGTATTGATTTAGTTGGATAGAGCTAAAATAATACTACTGATAATGTGAAATATTAGCAAATGTTTAATATTATATAAATGTAATTCTAATAATTCCAAATAGATTTCAAATAAAGGATGGGACTTGAATGAATATGCATTAGAAAATTTAAGAAAAATTCTGCATGTTGTGCACAGTACTATTTTTGTATAATTGAGATACTATTATAGTTTTTATTAATATTTTGAGTCATATTTTATTTTGATATTTTACATTTTAATTTTAGTTAAAGTTTTAGTACTTTTGTTGTGTATTTTTGTAATTTTTATTTTGTCTACATTTTTTATTCATTTTTATTTCAGTTTAATTATTTTAATACATCATGTTTAACTAAATTAAACTAAGAAATGTTGCCGTAGCAACTAGCTGACGTTTTTTTGAAGTAAAAAAAAAAAA